AGGGTGTGTGTGTGTGTGTGTGTGTGTGTGTGTGTGTGTGTGTGTGTGTGTGTGAGTGTGGTTTATGAGTCTGCTCTTGTCGGGCTGGAGAAACATGTATTTCTGTATGAGATTTTCTTGTCAGTCCTGCTGCAACTACAATTCCAATTTCATGCGTGTTAGAGAGAAAGACAGACGCTCTGAGGAGAGAGAGAGAGAGAGCGAAAGAGAGAGAGAGAGAGAGTGTTTTTAAAAAGGCAACAGTGATTGGTTAAGGAGAAAGCAGAGAGAGAACGAGCGAGAGAATGGAGTGCAGAAGCACTGCTGTGAGAAACAGAGTCAATCTGCCACCTAGTGAACATCATTTATCAGACACTGACAACACGTCTGTCCATTTACAAACCTACAGACAGACAGAGAGCGCTTCATCTCATCTCACACTGGCCTCCTGTTCAACATATTTTTAGCATTTTAGTTTTTTCCAGCAGTCATATTATATCATGCCAGTCCGGGTTGCCATGAATTTCCTTTTCCATGATCATTTCCACCCTCTCTTACTAAATTTCATTTGTAATATTAATAATGTCATTCATATTTATATTTATCACTGTACCTTTAAGACTTCTGTATGTAAATGATGTCCATTCTTGACGTGTGTAATAATCTCATTCACTGCTCTGTGCAAATTGCAGTCAGCAATAATTATGTGGGCGTTTTTAAATCTGATTTGCATAATTCCTTTATTGAACTCCTCCCTCAGTGTCATCATGTGGTTGAGCGTGTTGGGGGAGGAGCCTGGGGCGGGACTTGTGTCAGAAAAGGTGGGGTCTGGGATTAGAGAGGACTTCATTAGAGATCAGAATCACAGATGAATGTGGGATGAACGCTGTGGTGTAGATTAGTGTATGGAGGAGGCGGAGTTTCAGTTATAAGGGGTGGGGACTGTGTCATAAGGGGCGGGGTCTGTGAGTGAGTGCTGTGAGTGCTGACAGACACAGATGAATGCGTATGAGCACTGCTGGAGGCAGATGTGCTGCAGATGAATCTCTGTCTCTTGCCGCTGATTTATGGCAGGTTTGTGTTGCTGAAGCTGCAGCTCTGAGTTCGTGTTAGTCTGGATCTCAGAGTAAATCAAGAAAATGACAAAGCGCTTCATTAAATGGCGCATGGGTTTGATGAATATGTGGGATTGTGTGTTCATTGATCAGACGTGTGCGGGAATAATGGACGAGTGTGTCTGCGGCTCATAACAGATGATGTGTGTGTGATATTTCCACACGTGTTTGGCTTTATTGAAGCTCTGCAGCGTCCGCATTAAACACCACAGAGTTTATTATGAGTGTGTGTGTGTTATGAGATCAAGCGGATGTTTATGAGCGACACTCTGATGTGTGTGTATCTGTATTAGCATGAACACAAATCTCCCAGCATCCCTCAGTGTTTCCCGCTCATGTCGTTCTGCTCTGCTTTTCTCTCTCAGTTCCTCCAGTCATCTATAAAGTTTCGGACGACATCACTGTGAACGAGGGCAGTAACGTGACGTTGACGTGTTTGGCCAGTGGGAGGCCAGATCCCTCCATCACCTGGAGACTGCTCAACCCGTCAGGTGAGTGTGATATTTCCACACGTGTTTGGCTTTATTTATGCTCTGCAGCGTACGCATTAAACACCACAGAGTGTGTGTGTGTTGTGAGGTCAAGCGGATGTTTTGAGCGACACTCTGATGTGTGTGTATCTGTATTAGCATGAACACAAATCTCCCAGCATCCCTCAGTGTTTCCCGCTCATGTCGTTCTGCTCTGCTTTTCTCTCTCAGTTCCTCCAGTCATCTATAAAGTTTCGGACGACATCACTGTGAACGAGGGCAGTAACGTGACGTTGACGTGTTTGGCCAGTGGGAGGCCAGATCCCTCCATCACCTGGAGACTGCTCAACCCGTCAGGTGAGAGACAGCCAATCAGCTGCTGGAAAATCTCCTATTACACCATGTGTGCTGCAGATCATGTGTGTTGTTGCAACCACATCACATAAACCACAACACCCTAGCAACCCCCCATGACTGCTTAGTGACCAAATAGCATCACCCAGAACACCCTAGCAACCACATCACATCACCCGCAACACCCTAGCAACCACCCAGAACTGCCTAGTGACCACATAGCATCACTCAGAACACCCTAGCAACCACATCACAACACCCTAACAACCATCCAGAACTACCTAGCAACCACAGAACATCATCCAAAACTGCCTAGTGACCACATAGCATCACTCAGAACACCCTAGCAACCCAATTACACATCACCCACAGCACCCTAGCAACCACAGCACATCATCCAAAACTACCTAGCAACTACATAGCATCACTCAGAACACCCTAGCAACCACATCACCCACATAACCCTAGCAACCACAGAACATCATCCAAAACTACCTAGCAACCACATAGCATCACTCAGAACACCCTAGCAGCCCAATTAAACATCACCCACAGCACCCTAGCAACCACAGCACATCATCCAAAACTACCTAGCAACTACATAACTTCACCCAGAACACCCTAGCAACCACATCACCCACAACACCCTAGCAACCACATCGTATCATCCAAAACTACCTAGCAACCACATAGCATCACTCAGAACACTCTAGCAACCCAATTAAACATCACCCACAGCACCCTAGCAACCACAGCACATCATCCAAAACTGCCTAGCAACCACATAGCATCACTCAGAACACCCTAGCAACCACATTGCATCACCCATGACACTCTAGCAACCACAACACATCATCCAAAACTGCCTAGCAACCACCTAGACCTACCTAGTGACCACAAAGCATCAGGCTCCTGTCCTGCTGTCCTGATTGTGAGGGTTCTGTCAGTCTGAAGTGATCGTGGGTTCAGTGTCCGCATGTCCTTCAGACTCACAGAAGAATCAGTGGTTTCATGTTCACAGTGTATCTGTTGTCCTGAAGATGTTTCTCATTGACTGCTGCAGACATGCTGGGAGCTGCATTTACTGAAAAGAGCTGAATGCTGTTTAAAGTATTGACCATCCGTGTGTGTGTGTGTGTGTGTGTGTGTGTGTGTGTGTGTGTGTGTGCGGATCGATGCTGTAATGGTTGGAGATCCTCTTTTCCACAGAAGGTCACTAAAGGTTGGAGACGGAGGCCTGGAACATTACTGTTAATGTTCTTAACACAACAGCTGGAACATTAATCAAGTCAAGTCACCTTTATTTATATAGCGCTTTTAACAATACAGATTGTTATCAGTGTTTGCAGTAACATTAAACCGGCTCTAAACCAGCACTGAGCGGTTCAGTCAGAGACGTCATGCATCACACGACTGTGATTGAGTCGTTTCAGTTGTGTTTCTCAAATATTGAAAATGTCTTTGAAAACACATCTAGCTCACATTTATTCTCTCGGTTAGTCAGAGGCTTCAGATTCATGTTCAGAGGAAAGATGTCAGCAGAAGTTTATCCACCTCAGCAGCACGATCTACCGCTCAAATCACACACGTTTACACTGAAGAATTCATGTTAGTGATCAACACACACACAAACTGCTCAAGTCTGCTGTTCACTGACACACACACACACACACACAGCACATGTGTGTTACTGTATGTGTGATTATGATGTTTTTACACATGGATAGTTTCATCAAACGTCAGAATCTCATTATCTCATGAATGTTCATCCTGTTCATTACCTGATCATTAGCTGCTCATTAACACTGCGTAAGAAAGAATGAGTATTAATAAATGCATTAAAGCAATCAGATCACAGGTGTGTGTGTGTGTGTGTGTGTGTGTGTGAGTGAACATTATGTGTATTTATTGTGTGTCTGTGATCTTTCGGTTTTGCTGAACTTCGCCAATTTCATGGTTTTACATAAATTAGTATTCACTAAATAAATGCATTGTGCCTCACTGTGGTAAATGATGCTTATGAATAAAACATGAATATGCAAATGAGTCCCCCCTCCACTTACTTGTGTTCTGAAACGCTTTTCAACTTCCTGATGAAAAGCTGACCAGATCAGAGTGTGTGTGTGTGTGTGTGTGTGTGTGTGTGTGTGAGAGAGATAGAGAGAGATAATGTTTTAATTAATGGTGAACATGATCTAATCACTAAAGCTCCTGTCGGTCTGATGTTCTGAATCTGTTGCTCATGTTCTGTATCATCAGCTGTTTGTTTTATTAAATGTGATTCTGTTCGATCAGCTCTGGTTTGTTGATATTGCTGGAATATTATGATATTTTATTATATATGATGTTAGTGCTGAGGTTAGTGATGTGACGCATGTGTCTGAGGAGCCTCACATGCGCCCTCTGCTGGACACTGATGAGTGTGTGTGTGTGTGTGTGTGTGTGTGTGTGTTTCTCGATGGAGGCTCTGGACGTGGGCGAGTATCTGGAGATCTCTGGGATCGTTCGCTCTCAGGCCGGACGTTACGAGTGTAAAGCGAGCAATGACGTCTCTACTCCTGATGTCAAATACGTCAACGTGGTGGTGAACTGTGAGTAGATGTTTGAGATCAGACTGTGTGTGTCTCATCCTGTGTGTGTGAGATCAGACTGATGTGAGATCAATACAATACAATACAAGTTTATTTGTATAGCACATTTAAAAACAACTGGTGTTGACCAAAGTGCTTTACAAGGCTAAAAGAGACAGGCAATAAAGGCACAAAGCATTTTAAGCACTAGAGAAACAATAAAAGTAAGAGAAAAAATAAATTAAAGCCTAAAATAAGATAAAATAGAGGAGAAAAGCTAGAATCAAAAGATATTAATGCAGATATGAATCAAGGTATATTGAAAGCCACGGAGAAAAGGTCAGTTTTCAAGGTGGATTTAAAAGTTGACAAGGTTTGGGCCGGAAGGCTATTCCATAACTTAGGACCGATGACCGCAAATGCACGATCACCCCAGTTTTTAAGTCTGGTTCTAGTAACATATAGTAAATCAGAGTCCCTAGATCTAAGTGATCTAGACTGAGAAGGAGGATGCAGTAGTTCAGATAGGTACTGTGGTGCCTGGTTCCGCAAAGACTTAAAAACAAATAACAAAACTTTGAAATCAATTCTGTATTTGACCGGTAGCCAATGAAGTGAAATCAGAACCGGTGTGATGTGTTCACCTTTACGCTTCCCTTTGAGGAGCCCGGCTGCGGCATTTTGAACTGTAAACGTGTGACACATGTCTGAGAGGCACCAATGTACAAAGAGTTACAACAGTCTAGTCAGGATGACAAATGCATGCATGACAGTTTCAAAGTTCTTACCAGACAAAAAGGGCTTAACCTTTGCTAAAAGACGAAGATGATAGAAACAAGACCTAACCACAGCACATATCTGCTTATCAAATTTAAGACTGTTATCAAGCAAAACCCCCAGATTCCGAACACAGGTGTTACTGTAAGGTAACAGAGTATCGAGATCAACATCATGAATGCTGTGATCATTTGAACCAAACAAGATAATTTCAGTCTTACTCTCATTAAGACTTAAGAAATTACTAGCAAGCCAGAGTTTCAGTTCGTCTAAGCCAGTGGTTCCCAAACTTTTTGCAGCGTGCACCCCTTTATAATGTTTGACACATGTCAAGCACCCCCACCACCGTACTCCGGTTAAACACCACATTTTTTACTGCAATACAAGTATAAATAAAAGTATTCACTGTATACAGGGCTTGACATTAACTCTTTTGCTCACCAGCCACTGTGGTTAGTGGTTTTCCAAAATTACTAGCCACTCAGCATTTTCACTGGCCACAATTTTGTTGCTGGAAAATTACATTTTATATGACTAAAGTTACTGCATATTAAAATTTATTTGAATTGATTTCCAGGTCTTTTTTTTTGCCTATAAAAAGGGCATTTCCCCCTAATCTTATTAAATGCATGTGTCATCTTTCATATCAAATTCTTACATTTTATTAATAATTACACTTAATATAATAAGACTCTATAGGGCTGTTACCAATCAAATGAAATC